GATAGGCGACTCTCACCTATGTTCATGAGGTAGATAATTTCAAATCAACATCATTATCTTAGCTTGACTTTTGGCAATATGAACAAGTTGGTAAAGCTTTCTCTAGCAATAACAGGTAATTGCATAAAACGCAAAACTTCCACCCGCAACAGCACTCGAACCTGCATAGCACACCTGCAAACCAAGACACTTACCACTGCGCCATCCTAACACTTACAACGGTTGCGCAAGTACTCCTTATTGTACATGGCCTCATGGAAACAAGCGTCCATATCTTCTTCCAGAAAACCGTTTCGCAGATATCGAAGACAGATTTGAGTTTCCCATACCCAACTTGTTATTATGGATTATATCTTGTTTTGAATGGCCACTTCGAGTAAAAAGCATTCCCTTGTCAGAAATCTTAAACTTCCGGTTTGCACTGTTCACATCATATCTCCTTAACCCATTATAGCTATTTGTGTTCTTATATTCATCATTTAATATTTTATCAAGTCTACTAAATAAACCATATTCAGATGAAACGTTCGATTTGGTAGTGATGGATCCTCCATGGGAAAATCTTTCAGTGAAGCGGCAGCAGAGGTACCCCTATCCAATACGGCAATGTTTTCGTTGTGTCTCAAACTTCTAAATCAACATTGTGGGAAAATGCCAAAATGAATAGTTTAGTTATGTCACTTGCGATTCAGCAATCAATGTATTGGATCTAAACTATTTGGCGTCGAGCGGATTGGTAGCCATTTGGATTACTAATAGGAAAGGCAAGTAAATTCTAAAAGTTCAAAAATTCATTGTGATATTTTTGATTGATTGAAGAAACGAGGAATTCGTGGGGACTACATAAATCGCGTTTCTTGATAATTTATTGTACTCTTCAGCTCTTGAACCCTACTGTTTAGCGTTTGCAAAGTCCCCTGTTGTATAAACGGACCGTTTTGGGTAGTTAAAATAGTTTCGCATGCTCTCCTATCCTTTGCACTCTGATTTGTCAACGCTTGCGCAATTGGGTAGCAAAACCTCCGTTTAACATTGCTTAAACTGTATGCAAACCAACTCAATTATATTTTTTTCATAATGACAGCTCCTTAACCATAGGTTTTATACGTTTCGCGGGCTCAAATTAGTTCACGAGCTTAGTTCCCCTATCACGAAATAGGGTTGATGTATGATATTTCGGTTGATATAGGGTTATAATTAACACAGAATTTTTGGACTTCTACATATTGATATCATTTAACAAGCTATACACAAATATGATGCTTTTTGGATGCAGAATAGTTGATTTCGTGCCTGAAGAAACAATACAGC